TGAAACTGCTCATTTGCTGATTGCTGCCTTCACGTGTGTGTTTTGCTAATTTGGTATTTCCCTTTTCAGGTAAAACGACGCCTCGACTGGGACAGTGCTCCCCCGGAACACGTCCTCCACCACCACCAGCCGCCGCTGACGCCGCCGATGATCACCAAGACGATTTGTGCGCGCAATGGAAAGCAGGTCAGCGTGAGGACGTTCAAGCTGTCGAATGCCATGGCGCAGAGCATGGTGGCGGCCGGATGCTCCCAGGCGGTGGCAGTGGCCGCCATCACCGCCATGCAGAATGGTGGCGGGGTCACCAATGGCACCAATGGTGGTAGTGCTGCTGCTGTTCACCACCTCGAAGCAAGCAGTAGCCCACTGGGTACCACCAGCGGTATCAACCACCACCACTCCTCCTCCTCCCCGCCGACGTTCACCATCGTCAACGGAGGAGGTCTGTCGAGCGGTGGCAAGTCGCAGCTGACCTCCTCGCCCACCCTGCACACCATTGTCAGCAATGGCTCCAGTCCCCTCAGTCAGAATGGTGGTGGTGCCCACTGCACCCCTGCAAAGCCCTTCAGTGCGCCTCCCTCCACCCAAGTCATTTTTAAAACTCCCCTCACACCAAAGTCATCAAGTCCGGCGTCGGCTTCGCTCAATGGCAATGCCAACTCCAACGGCGTGTCCGTCCCCAGTCTGACCGCTTTTGCCACTACCCAACAGCAGCAGCATNGCACACCATTGTCAGCAATGGCTCCAGTCCCCTCAGTCAGAATGGTGGTGGTGCCCACTGCACCCCTGCAAAGCCCTTCAGTGCGCCTCCCTCCACCCAAGTCATTTTTAAAACTCCCCTCACACCAAAGTCATCAAGTCCGGCGTCGGCTTCGCTCAATGGCAATGCCAACTCCAACGGCGTGTCCGTCCCCAGTCTGACCGCCTTTGCCACTACCCAACAGCAGCCACAGCAAATAATTCTCGTCAATGGAAAGAGCTGCGATGTTGCTGTCTCGGCGAAGCAGGTGGCGGTAACCAATGGTGGCGCCAGCGGTAACCGCTTTAGCCTCAAGGGCATCGCCAACCTGACGCCCATCCTGGCGAGTGTAAATGCCTCCAATGTGAGAAATGTCCCAATGGTGGCGGTGAAGACGAATCCCGCCAGTGCAGCATCAGCCCCCCAAAAGTCGCTCCCAAACGGAACCAGTGCAGGACCACCAACTAGCAATGGTGGAACCAAGCGAATGCGCGCCAACAATGGCGCCGCGGTGATTGTCAAGGAGGAGAGGGAGGACAATTTCATGCCATTCAAGGCGGCGACCGCCCGGAACACCGCCGCCGCTTCATCTCGAAAGAAGGCGGTGGCCACAAACAGCAAAACAGCCAAAGCAGCAACAGCCAGTGCAGCTCGCTCTCGCAACAGCAGCATCAGCAGCAGCGACTACGACAGCAGCTTCTCGCCCTTTGGCGGCTCCAGCTCGCTGGGCGACTTCTCCTCGGGCGGCCTCTCCCTCCACAATACCTCTTCGGCCTTCTCCGCCGGTCCGTGCAGTCCAAACAGCAACAGCAACTCATCGGCAGACACTTTCAGCACTTACGGTTCTGCCGCTTCGGCGGCCGCCGCTGCGGCTGCTGCTGGAAAGAAGAACGTCGGCCGATATGAGACCTCGCTGGGTCAGCTGACGCGCAAGTTCATCAACCTGCTGGAGGGCTCCCCCGAGGGCTCCATCAACCTCAATGACGCCTCGGACATTCTGAAGGTGCAGAAGCGCCGCATCTACGACATCACCAACGTCCTGGAGGGCGTCGGCCTGCTGCACAAGACGTCGAAGAACAATATTCAGTGGCGTGGTGGGCTGTTTGACTACTGCGAGGGGCGGCTGTCGGCACTGGCCACCGACCACCCGACGCACTACCGCAATCGCAAGCCGCCGCCGCTGACGCTGCTCTTCAACGAGGGCCCCTCGGAGTCGGACGACGGCCCGACGACGGCGATGATGGGCGGCAGTGGCCCCCACCACCTGATGATGAACGGCGGCAACAGCTGCAGTAGCAGCAGCAGCAGCTGCACCACCACCACCAGCGCCAGCCGCCGGGAGAAGACGCGGGAGGAGCTGGAGCAGGAGGTGTTTGAGCTGACGAACGACGAGAACCGCATCGACCACTGCCTGCAGATGATGTCGGAGAACCTGAACTACCTGAAGTCGGGCAGCGTCGAGCAGCTCTTCGTCAACAACAAGGACCTGCGGCGGGTGCCGGAGTTTGCGTACCAGACTGTGATAGGAATCCGGCCGCCCAGCGACACCACGCTGGAGGTTCCCGACCCTGCCGAGGTTTGTTTTGACTTGTCTTGATTTTTCACAGTTTTTTTAAATTTCTTTTTCTCTTTTTGTTTTTTTCAGGGGTTGCAAATTTGGCTAAAGAACACCTGCAGTCGAATGATTGAGGTGTACCTCTGTCCGCACATCTCCCCCAGTGACAACGAGCTCAGTCCGCTCAAGTGTCGGCCGCTGGAGAGGGACGTCTTCAGTGCGGTGCGAAATACGCCTGAAAAGGCGACCACCACCCTCCTCAAGACGTCCACCAGCTGGCGAATTGGTGGCGGCGGCACTAGTAATGGTGGCAAGCCAGTCGAAGCTGCGGCTGCTGCCATTCTTCCCATTCTTCCACCGCGTCTGGCGGCGGTGACGGAGACGGGCACGCCAATGAAGTCAGACACAGAGTCGGGCTACTCCTCCTCCTACGTTTGCGGCAGCAGCTCAACGCCAAGCGAAGTCAACAAACAACAGGCAGTTGAGGGACTTTACTTTGGTGGTCAGGCTTATAACGGCGGCAACGGCCTCCAATTGACGCCCAACGGTGCTGCTCATCACGTGGTGCATCAGAACATGCTGACACCAAACCAAAGTGCAGCACCAGTGGCGGGCAGCAGTGTCGGCGACGACTTTGATGGCAGCGCCCAGCAGCTCATGCAGGGCTCTTCCTCGTCGCTCTCCGACGACCTCGGCGGCATGAACACCCTCAGCGACATTGAGCAGTCGCTGCTGAGTGCCTCTTCAGCCTACGAGGAGTATGACCAGAGTTCAAGAGGTTTGTTAGCTTTACTTTGTTGACTTGTGATTGGTTTTGTTTAACCATTGTCCTCTCTTTAGGCGACACCTCTCGATACACAAGCCGCCTTGCAAATGCCTTCATCTCGGAGGATGATGAGTTTGGTCCGCTAGGCTCTCGCTCCTACATCACGCAGACTGAAGACCAAATGTACGCCAACAAGTCCTCGCCGCTGACCGGCTTCTCCTCGCCCTTTCAGCACTCCAGTCAGCTTGGAGGTGGTGATGCTGGTGGTGGTGGTGGTAGCGGTGCTGGTGGTAATGGTGGTGTCGACGGTGATCACCCCCTCGACAGCTTCAGTCCACTGCACGGCCTCTACGGGTCCCCCGACAGGCTGATTCCCCTCATTCCGCCCATCACCGAGGATGACTACAACTTTACGCTGGGCGAGAATGAGGGCATTGCCGACCTCTTTGACGATGATGCCTTCATGCTGCAGGGACTGGGCGATGATGACGGCACCGGTCGCTCCAATGATCCCCTAGTATTTGGCAATGATTATGGGTGCTGATGATGATGATGATTGATTGAACTGGTAGCACTCTCACATCATCGCCATTGCCACTGTTCACCTCCACATCACCTCTCTTTTCAGCCACTGTCGCCTCATTTCCCTCTTGCCCACTTTTTCCTCTGTTCTCTGTCATTTTGAATAATGCCAGCCAACACAACAGCCACCTCATCACCTCATCGCCATCATCATCATCATCCTTAGTTATCATCTCACCCATCTCGACACTGCACACCTTCATTTTTTCTTTCCTTTTATCTCCTTTCATTTCCCCCCTCCCCCTCTTCTTTACATTGTTTCCATTTATTTCCATTGCGCTTTTAGCACAATGCAAGCACACACACACTCCCACCCACAAACAACTCACACTGACAAGTCCAGTCTACTTTGTTACCTATATTATCCACTGCTTCGATATACCTTCGATCTTCTTTGGCACTGTTGATCTTCTTTTACAACTCCTGTATACATCTCTCTATTTCAGCTTTTCATTTTACCAGTTTCGCATCAGTGAAATGAATTTTCTCCTCCTTTCCATATTTATTTGTATCTGATGTCACTTCTTCTTCTTCTTTTGATCGCAAGCCCCCTCCCTATGTATATCCTTTTTATTTGTCACTTTATTTACTCCATTGTAGTTACCTACTGTAGATTCGCCGCCGTTCTCCNTTGTATCTGATGTCACTTCTTCTTCTTCTTTTGATCGCAAGCCCCCTCCCTATGTATATCCTTTTTATTTGTCACTTTATTTACTCCATTGTAGATACTACCTACTGTAGATTCGCCGCCGTTCTCTGTGTCTACGGGCTAGTGTGGGGTACAGTGCTTGCTTGTGTGTCAATTGCTATAGACTCATTCTCTCTCCTGTTGTGTACAAAACCTGATTTTGTTGATGATGATGATGATGATATAACACCTTCTGATGATAACCACTGCTGGTGATGATGTGTGTGGTGATGCCCTCAAACAATAAAAACATGGCACAATTTAAAGAGCCGTACCTCACTTGTTACTGTTTGCAGAGAGACTGTTTCCACTTGACTTTTGTAACTGGTNTGATGATGATGATATAACACCTTCTGATGATAACCACTGCTGGTGATGATGTGTGTGGTGATGCCCTCAAACAATAAAAACATGGCACAGTTTAAAGAGCCGTACCTCACTTGTTACTGTTTGCAGAGAGACTGTTTCCACTTGACTTTTGTAACTGGCGCGCTTATCCGCTCAGTGACACCGATTTGTGGCCGGTGAGTTTATTTGCGGTGTTCACTTCAATTCACCACCACCACAACCACTACTACTTCTAATCCACTGATTTGGCTCATCATTGAAAGAACAAATGCCTATGCTTTTATTTGGGCAACTGTCGTTGATTAGATTGGGTTTTGTTGTTTCATTTCCATTCGTAGACACGCAGGTAGTCCACCTCCATGGTGTGCTTATGCCACTGATGGGCCTGCTCCTTGGTCACGTAGGGGCCGGGGCCAAAAAAGTTGCCGCCAACGGCAACGTTCAGAATCTAAAATTGTTGGGTTTTACAAGTGTTTTAATTAGTGCTTTCAGAAATTGTTGCCGTCATTACCCAGTGGAAGGGCTGGTCAAAGGGCTGTCCGTTTTTGGTGTAGGGGTTGTGGCCCTTTCCAGACCACATGTTCTTGTTGATGTTCTCAGTGTGGAAGTGGTGTCCATCAACGAACCACTAGTGATTTCAAGGAACAAGCAGAGTTTTATGAACGATTAGAAAGTAAGTTAAACTTTGGTGATGGCTAACCTTGATGTCAGTGTGTGACCACTCGACGGCAAAGGTGTGATAGTCCTGGCTAAAGTCCTGAGGGTAGCTTTTCTCTCCCGAGCCGTGGTAGATGTTGTTCTAAAATTACTTTGTTACTATAGGAAGTCAACTGAATAGCTGTTTATATATACCGGCCAGCTTCCTCCGTAGTGGATAGTGCCCATGATCTCATGCGGCTTATCACCGCGCAGCTCCATAATGTCGATTTCACCCGAGGCAGCCCACGTTCCGTACTTTGAGTCTCTGGGCATCATCCAGATGGCCGGCCACAGGTGGTGACCACTGGGCAGGCGGGCACGAGCCTCGAATTTGCCGAAAGTCCAGGCATGCTTCGAGTGAATGCGACCCGAGGTGAAGTGCTTTCCTTCAAAGTCCTCCACCTTCACGTCGATCACCAGGTGGCCATTCTCCACACGAACATTCTGCGATCGGTGGGCGGTGTAGCACTCCAGCTCATTGTTTCCTGAAAGACAAAGATAATGAAAGTGCTCTACGAGAAAAAAAGCCTACTGCATCTGAGACTTACCCCAGCCACTGCAACCAGTCTCGTAGGCCCAGTTGTTGTCATCGAGGTGGTTTCCATTGAACTCATCTGACCAAACCTGGTGCCAGGCGGCAGAGGCTCCGCCGGCAAAGAGCGCCAGTGCAAAGAATACGACAACTTTCATATTGATGTGTGCTTTACTGCAAAAAGCATTGATGATCACAGTGGCAGTGGCTTTTACTTTTTATATACCTTGACCTGGTAGATGTTCCTTAAATGAAGCGGCTTATATTATTATCTTTAGCACTTAGCCACTTGGATGCTGACCAATCTTTGGTGTTTACCATCATTGTCACAAATCCGCTTTCTCCACGCCGATTTATCATCGCCTAAAAACCCCTCATCCAATCGAGAGCTAAAAAATCTTCTTCCGATGCCACTCTACTCTAAAAAGCTATCTGCAGTTTATAAGACTTTGTTTTTAACTTTCTAAAATCGATATAGACTTTTTTTGTTGCTTTTTAAAATTTATCATTTTATTTTGCTGTAATGACACTGGTGCTTTTAATATTGCTCAAAAATTGAGAACCACTATACTTTTGGCAAAAAAAACAGATAAAAATAAACTACTAAATAAAACTACTTTTAGAGTTACCAAGGCCATTGGTGCTGCGATAGCATATGCACCATCAAAACCAAATATGAATAAAACACAGTGGTAACTAGAGCAAAATTATGCATTTATTTATTTTACAACATTCAATTTCTAATGCCATTCAAAGACACGCAGGTAGTCCACCTCCATGGTGTGTTTGTGCCAGCCGCGAGCCTGATCTCTGTTCACATAGGGACCAGGACCGAAGAAGTTGCCACCGACAGCGACGTTGAGAATCTGTTTCCAAATCCAGAACAAGTTAGTGATCTAGTCACACCGAAACAGTTTTTAGTTTTACTTACCCAGAAAAAGGGCTGGTCAAAGGGCTGTCCGTTCTTGTTGTAGGGGTTGTGACCCTTGCCGCTCCACATGTTTCGGTTGATGTTCTCCGTGTGGTAGTGTTGGTTATCAACGAACCACTTGATGTCAGTGGGTGACCATTCCACGGCAAAGGTGTGGTAGTCCTGGCTGAAGTCTTGCGGGTAGTTTCGCTCTCCAGAGCCGTGGTAGATGTTGTTCTGAGGTATTTATGTTAGTATTAAAAAGTCAACTGAATAATCACTATTGATATGTTACCGGTGCTGTGCCTCCGTAGTGGATGGTGCCCATGATCTCATGCGGCTTATCACCACGCAGCTCCATTATGTCGATTTCACCCGAGGCCGCCCACTGTCCGTACTTCGAATCTCTGGGCATCATCCAGATGGCCGGCCACAGGTGGTGGCCACTGGTCAAACGGGCACGGGCCTCGAATCGGCCATAGGTCCAGGCGTGCTTCGAGTGCACTCGACCTGAGGTGAAGTGCCGTCCCTGGTACTCCTCCACCTTCACGTCGATCACCAGGTGGCCGTTCTCCACGCGCACATTCTGCGGTCGGTGTGAGGTGTAGCACTGCTCTTCATTGTTCGTCAGACCGCAGCCCGTCTCGTAGACCCAGTTGTTGTCGTCGAGGTGGTTTCCATTGAACTCATCTGACCAAACCTGGTGCCAGGCGGCAGAGGCGCCGCCGGCAAAGAGTGCCAGTGCAAAGAATACAACAGCTTTCATAGTGATGGTGTGGATGCAAAAAAGCATTGATGCCCTCAATGGCATTGGCTTTTACCTTTTATACGGCGACCTGGTAAATCTTTTCTATCGATGAAACCGATTATGCGCTACTATCACCCAGAAATCCACTTGTATTTTGACCACTATTATTTGCCTCGCTTACACTCACTTAAATCCGCTTTCCAAATCTTTACAATCAAGTGCTTAAGGTTTCTGTCCGATGACAGCCACTCTCTGACAGTGATTGCACTCTTACAACGTTAGGCCTGTTTTTAATCATCTCACTAATCGTCTAAAAAACTTGTTTGTCTTTTAAAATGGGATGACTTTTAATTAATAAAAAAGTATAATTTGAGAACTACCCTAAAGTCATAGTAAGGTTCGATGCGACTGATAATGTGAAAAGAAAAGATGATTTAAAAATAAAACACCGGAACTTTATTTCTAATTGAGTGACTTGGGGGAGAGGGTAGTTTTGTGGTTGGAATGACATGCAATTTAATTGTTTCAAATAATTGGTCCACAAAAAAGGTTGGTTGGTTCCAAGTGGTTACAATATACTCACTGTTCAAATAATTAAGTTGTCTGATTAGAATGTTAGGCAAAGGAAGGGGATTGATTATAAAAGATAGGCATGGTCTTTTCGTTGTGGGTTGTTCGGATTCAGTTGATTAGATAGAAAAAAAATATATTATTTGATTGTCTGCATTAGTTCTTGTCGACCGCCACTGTGGTGAAGCCTTTGCCATTCCAGATAGACTTGAACTGCTCGGGAATCGGGTGCTCAACCTGAAATTGAAAAGGGTCTAAAACATATCATAGCGAATTAAAGTGACCACTTACGTATTCATCCGAGGCATTCGGCACTGAAATGTTAATTTCAGAGCTCTTTGAGCTGACAATCTCACAGGAAAGCGACTCCTTGGAAAGGAAAACCTCAATGCCGTCCGCCTTGTCAGCGGTGATTGTCGGCACGAAGCCATTCACCTGATAACAAATAGCAGTTTTAGTAATGAGAGAGGAAACAAATAAAACAATGAAGCACTTACCTGAGCCTGAGCTCGCTGACAGTCGATAAACTCGACGACGGCGACAATGTTGTCAAAGACAATGGAAAACTTTTTGCATTTGTTGACGGTGATGGAGTTCACCTTGCCCTTGACAATGAGCAGCGAATCGGTGCAGTTGTAAACATTCACCGACTGTGACATGTTCGTGTCGGTAATGGTCAGACTCTTGTTTCCCTGGTGATTTTCTACGAGCCATTTCTTGCCTTCCAGCTCAAACTTCGGTGGCAGCTTAGCCGGCGCCGCCTTGGTGACTGTCCCGTTCACGCCGGCGCTGGCTTTCTCCGGTACAGCGCCCGACTGTCTGAGCGACGGATTCTTGTGGGTCATCTGGGTGGAGGAGACCTTCTTCAGGGCCTTGGTGATGTCAGTGCCCTGGTTGAGGGAGGCGAAGAGGGCGGCCCGGGAGTCGCCATTCTTGCTGTCGCTCGTCGTCGAGGAGACGTCATCGAAGAAGCCGGCAGCTGGTGGCGGCGGCGGCGGCGGGGCACCGACGGCGCCTCCAGAGCTAACCACCGGGGCTCCCTTGGCGTTCCACACGAGGCCAGTGGTGTGGTTCTTTCGGACGTAGATTTGCAGGCTGGTGAGAAATTGAATCCACGCCTTGGCCCACTCGGCCTGGACGGGGTCCTTCTCCTTGAAGGCGACGAGCACCTTGTTGGTGTAAAATTGAGCAGCGTCGAGCATCTCCTTCACATAGGGTCCCGGTGTCGGCGAGATGGTCACCCACCCTAGAGCGGGAATGCCCTCGGAAATGGCCGAAAGATGGTTGAAGTAGTCGCTCCTGCGGTTAGCCTCCCGGAATGACTGCAGCCAAAATGATTTGTTATTAGTGAATAAAGACAGCCAAATCAGTGCATCAGCCTTACCTGAATTNGCTCCTGCGGTTAGCCTCCCGGAATGACTGCAGCCAAAATGATTTGTTATTATTTGAATGAAGACAGCCAAATCAGCTAAATCTTACCTGAATCTGGCTGATCAGATCAGCCGTCGGCTTAAGTAGCTCGCCAAACTGCGAGTCGGCCGGCTTTTGAGATCGAGACGCAAGCTCGATGAAATCACGCTGAGTGGCCAAGGCCTTCTTCACCAGTGCCGCCTGCTCCTGCACCACCGAGCCAATCTTCTCGCTGAGACTTACATAGTTGGCGAAGGAATCGGCGAGCAGGTCCTCGTAATCGCGAACCGAATTGGCGACTGCTAGCAGCGACAAGCAAAACAAAGAAAAGNGAGTCGGCCGGCTTTTGAGATCGAGACGCAAGCTCGATGAAATCACGCTGAGTGGCCAGGGCCTTCTTCACCAGTGCCGCCTGCTCCTGCACCACCGAGCCAATCTTTTCGCTGAGACTTACATAGTTGGCGAAGGAATCGGCGAGCAGATCCTCGTAATCGCGAACTGAATTGGCGACTGCTAGCAGCGACAAGCAAAGAAAACAAAAAAAGACGTCATGGTCATGACCACTTTTAGGCATTTGAGCCTCTGAAGGCCCCTGAACACTTACACATATTGGCAATGGACGGCGGGATGTGAAGACGACGATGTCAACTGTTGTCAGCTGAGGAAGGTGTCAGTGAATGGGTGAAAAGAGTAGAATCGTGTCGCCTGTATGCTGCTTATCAGCTGGTTGTGACGGGAGTGGCCGGCACTGCAGTGAAATTGTTGTTGCGCTGTCACAGTGTGTGACTCAGTGACAATGAAACTGCGGCTTACGGGAAGATTGCCCGGACAGCTGCAAAGAAAGTTTTTTTGGTCAAGTTTTGCAACAATTTGCATAATCTAATCAAAATTCAGCCACCTTGTATGCGATTTTTATTCAAAAAACATTACAACAAAAAACATGTACAGAAAAAGTTAAAAGTATGTACAAAGAAAAATTAAAGTAAGCAGAGACGGAGCATTTTCTTTTCCAGTCTGAAGGCTTTCACAAGCATTTTAGGTTTTTTTTATTTAGAAGATTTGCTTCTTTTCGACTTCGGCCGAGATGTACTGTTGCCCGTTTCAGTAGAATCCACGTCGAGATCCATATTTGAACCATAGCATGAGGCTTCAGGCTTGACGTATGAGCCCATACCGGCAGCTTGTTCCGCTTCCTTGTGACTGTACGGGGCCACTTTCAGCTCCTTGACGCGTTGCTTGTGCTGTTTACTTCTCTTGTGCTCCTTCAGGGTAAATTCATTGACAAAAAATCGACTGTGACAAGAGGAAAATGGAGATTAAAGTTTAATAACTGAAAAATGCCGTTAAATCGATGTAAACTTACTCGCATTCTACGCAAAAGAATTCGCCGTTTCCTGGCAACTCATCCACCATTTCATAAGGTCTTTTCTGGGCCGGTAATTCAATGCCTTTTTTAATTTCATCAAGAATCTGGTCAGTGTCCTTCTTGTAGCGCCTCGTCTTCAGAACACGCTTTCCAATGCTTCGATGTGTAGCACAAGCACCTTTTGATCGTGACTGTTTACCAGAACCCATTTTTGTATTTCAGTTTTAAAGTTTCTGATAAAATGAATGATAAAATGAAATAAATAAATAAAAGAAGTAGAGGAAATCGGTGAAAAGAATCAGTTTCCAATTCTGAAGTCAAATCCAAGATTTACAAACACGTGGAGAAAAAAATGTTTTTATTTACTGCCGATACATAGATGACGTATTTTTTAAAAGCCAGTGGCGCAGAAATGCACAGCAAAAGGTGCCTTTACTTTGACGCCTGTTTTCTTTGCTTTGTTGCAGAAACTCTGATGTTCGATTTTTAAAAATCATTTTTAAAGGAAGGGAAAAGTTTTTGTGATGAGTGTAATATGATCATTTTTACAAATCGTCACTTTTTACTTTGCCAAAAAATGAAACTTTCAATGGTCATCTTCGTTTTTTCTATGTGGACCAATCATCCCAGTGTTGCACTTCACGATGTAAGTAAAAACATTTAGTTTTCACTTCATTTCAATTTTCATCTTTTCACCACAATCTTCAGGACAAATGTAAACTTTTGCGAGAGAGCAAAACGGGCATCAGCATCTTTGCCCGTAAAAACATCGACAAATACATTCTGATTACCACTGATGGATACATCTTTCAGTTTCCAATACAAAACTTAAACCTGGAAAGTAAACCAATGACGCTGACACTGATCGGTAGAGGAAAGGAGATAATCAAAGAATACAAGTCTCTTTCACGCGATATCCGTTATAGTTCAGACAAAAATGATCCGATCGTTCACCGACTGTTCTTCGACAACGCCAAAGAGTGGCTGGTATACTTTAACACCTACTATAAAGATCGTGTGTGGAACAAAACGTGCTACCAAATTTACGCTTTAGACAGCGATGGGAAAACATTGGTAAGTAGTTTTTTCTATCATAAAAGCTGAAATCAACATCTCTTCTTCGTCTTGCAACGAAAAATACTTTTTTACTGCAGGACAATGAAATCTGCCTGTGCGATCCAGGCGAAAAAGACGAAAAGAAAGTCTGGATTTGTGGTAAAGAAGCGGAATCCCTATTTCTGTCACATGGAGATTACCTCACAACGGGTCCAAATAGTAGAAGAACTTTGGAGATCAAACACTACAAAAAGGAAAACTCTCTTTGCATTTACCAGTACCTACAGTTGCCCGGCGCACGAGAGACGCAGTACAAAATGTTGGGAGCTGAACCTCGGACAATCAACTGCTGGGCTATCAAGAACGAAACTCTGACTTCCGGTCCACCTGATGCAGGTCTTTACTGGGAGAAGGACCCAAGTGGTGCAGAGACCAGCATGAAGATGCTGCTGATTTGGAATAGCAACGCCATTTATGGTAGTCATAGTCGAAGTGAAGAGGGAATTGTGCGCCTTGGCAAAGCGGCCTCTGATGACTGGGCAAAAGGAAAGCATATGACAGAGGAACAGGAGGTGAGGATGTCGCAATTTATCGACTGCCGAAGAGATGATGGAGATGATGTGACTACAAATGAAGTGAACGATCTCACTACCACAAACGGCAGCTTTTTTCACAATCATCATTTGGAGATAATTTGTGTTGTTCTGGTTGCTCTCATTGTGCTCGTTTTTTTCCGAAGCTCGTGCTGTTCAAATAAAACAATGGTTTGCTTTAGTGCTGTTAAAGGAATAAATTTTATTAACAAAAACATTTCTTTTCAGTTCAATTACGACAAAAAGGGTGAAAAGAGGAGGAGGAAGAAGAAGAAACTAAGCGAAAAGGGGAGAAAACACTTACAACAGCCCTCCAGTGTCGTCCCAGCAAGCACCACCACTACCATCTCACAACTGCAGGGAGCCTCGTACCTTTCAAACAACGCCGCCTCAGCTGCCAGCACAGTTCCCTCTTCCAATGTGTCCTCTCTGGTGAAGAATCAAAGCCAGAAGAGGAAGACGACGAAGAAGAAGACGAGGAAAAGACAGTCACCAATTGAGAAACTGCATTCACTGATTACCAGCAAGCTGAACACACTGCGCAGTATGGTCACCGCGTCGGTGGCCAAGTCAAGGGCGGCAGCGAGGAAAAGAGAGCAGTAGTAAGAGAGAAGTTTTTGTAAGGAATTAAAATTTGGGAAGGTGAACTTGACAGAAAGTGACAATCTTGAACATATGTTTTCGATGTCCACCGGCAATCCAGGCACTCCTTGTCGGCAGATAAATTAAAAACATCAGTAATAAAGTTCACCAATTAATCAATTTCCAATGACAACAATCTCCGTTGCCAAATACTGCGCAATAGTTATTTGCCTATAAAAATGGCAACATTACAGCACCATACTACAATTACATTACATTAATTCCCAATCAGTTTATCAACAGTATGCGTTTCAGAGCACTTCTTCTCGCCCTCTTCGCCCTAGTTGCCCTGGCCCAGGGTATTGCCGTGCCGAAGTGCAAGCCCCTGCCAGCACACTACTGCGATGGCATCAAGTGCTCCGGCCCTCAGACGGCCAAGGCCTGCGACATGGTCGGCCTGCCCGGACAGTTTCAGTTTCTGCCTCACGGTCGAACGTGTGGCTGCTGTGCTGAGTGCATTCAAGTCAAAGATGATCCGTAAGTTGCACCCGAAATGATCGCTTGCAGTTTTCTAATTACACAGTTTTTATTTTACAGAGGATTTAAGTATCTTTAATGATTGACACTCTAGCATTATAAGCGCAAAAGTTAATAAATAAAAAAGATCATTTCAAAAAATTTCTATTTACATCAATGATTGCCTGAATTAGACCACAACCAGGAAAGTCAGCAAAGATGATGCCCACAAAGCGAAAGCGCTCTGCTTTCAGCTTTTCATATGTCATTATGTTGGTGCCTTCACAGTACACATTTCTGTAGTGCAATCCCAGGCTGTTCTTCTTCAGTGGTGATCGAGGAAATTCAGGGAACACTTTTTTCGAGTCTTCCTCAGTCATAAAGCTGTACTCCTTGTAGCAGGTGTGCCGGCGGCCATCAGTGCCCCAGTCGATGTGCCCACTGGCCACAAAGAAGGGCTCCACTGTGAGCCCCCCGGAGATCCAGTTGGTGTAGAAGGACAGCTCCAGGCCAAAGGGGCCCGGGTCAAAGTAGATGGAGGAGGAGTCATTCGTTTTGAGGAGATGTTCGCGGATGATGGTCCACTTAAGGTAGAGTGTGGCGCGGCTAAACTGCGTCCAGTGACTTTGAGTGGTTTCGGTGTGCTTGAAGGGCAGACTGTACAGCCTACTTGACTTGAAGTACTGCAGGATGACCACCTTGCCACGGACATCACCGATGGGAATTGGCGGACTGAGACTCTGAAAAGAATTAAAAATGAAAAAGGCACTTTAGCTTTAGCCTAATAATGAAACACCTACCAAATCAATATCTTTCGGCTGCCAGAGAAGAGTTCGGTACTTGTTCCAGTAACGACCGACAAAAACGTCCTCAAAGCTCTGAGTAGAATTAATCGGCGAGTTCTCTTTGTCTTTCACGCGCAGCAGAACCACCTCACTGGGGTACATTTTCAGGAAGCTCTCGCAGATCTGCAGTACCTCATCGAGGTTGATCTCCTGCGAGACAAACTGGTGGTAGACGGCGCATTCATTGTTCACCAGACGACACCTCACGTCGAATGCCCGTATGCCCGCCTTCAGTTGACTTTCCAGTGTCATCGTCTGCGTTTCGAACATTCGCGGAAACTTGCTGACACCGTGGCGAGCCAGCGAGTCGTGGGTGCCCGGAATGGAGATCAGCTGAAGTGGCCGCAGATTGGGAATGGTGGACATCCACCACCGTGGGTCAGGCTGATCATCTGATGCCGGAGCTGGGCACTGTTCCTCTTGTGAAAAAGCAGGGTGAATTCGACCATGTGTTGATTGTGCAATGAAAAGGACACATAAAAATGACAGAAGAATCATTGCTGGAAACGGTACAGATAAAAGTGAGTCCGGTCAACGGCTTTATATGACGTCAAATTAAAGCAAAATATTTCATTTTGCTTGTGAGAAATGGAAACTTGTAAAACAAAAAAACTTTTGGAACTTTTTATCTTGTGAAGAAATCAAAGTTTTGTTGACAAGCGGAAGTTGCAGGTCAACAAACTGTAAACACGAAGTCAAGAAAGTGGAGGACACCACACATTGCTTTTGATCTGAACTATGGGAAAATAGAAAGAGAAAACAAACTCGTTTTAAGTATCACGGTAATGGCAAAATGTAACAGATATAGTTTTTGGAAACAAAGATGAGAGAAAAGTCGCACTTATTTTTTTCGTAGAACGTCAGACTTGATCAAATGAACTGCCACTTGCGTCAAACATCAAAATTGCGGCTAAAAGCATACAATATGGGTATCGACAATTTTTCTATGTTAGATAAATTTGCCTGGTCGTGAAATAGCTATTGCCAGAGTGATGAACAATAGTTGAAGCGAACAGTGAAGGCTATAACCAGATATCTTCATGGTTTGCTGCCAGCTGCCAAATCGCATCCACTGAACAGTAGTGCTCTACGTTGATGTGAATACAAAGGCATTTCTATTCACAAATTTCTTCAATTTAAAATGGTCAATTAAAAATGTTCAACATTGCGAAAATCACATTAAAAAATGAAAATGGTGGTAGGAAAACAAACAAGTTACACACATCTGTTATCAACAGTTGTTGCACTTTCTCTTTTCGCAGTCTTTGTACATGTGCTTCCTGTCACAAAAAACGGCAGGCATAAACTACAGAAAACGTTTAGTCAGCCAAAAGAAGGTCACACCAAGTAGTGCTTGAGAATTGAAAAAACTCACCAAAATCATTTTTTATGCCCATTTGCCACGACGCCGCCTGATGGAGAAAGTGAGCATTAAGGCAGGAGAAGGGAAAGTTGCACTCAGCTGAGTGATACCTGAATCATCACAAATCACGCCGTGATTGTTGCTTTACGGAAAAGAAGATCTTCTTTCCACCACCAGCGTTATCAAATGTTGTCGTGTCACGAAGCCAGTAAAGCCAACTATTGGCTGTAGTACCTATCCCCTAGGTGCCTCTTCGGCTTTTAACATTTCCCCTTTCAATGGTGAACTCGCCACCAGAGAATGGTGAACTCGTACCTTACTGGCCTCTTTTTGGCAATTATTTCGACTCTATTTATAGGTAAGTGTTCTTGCAGGTAATGCTGTTTTTCCGATTTGTTTACGTAATGCTGATCATCTTCTTGCAGGATGCAGCTTCATCTTCAAAAAGGTAGGCCTGATCAGGCTGTCCAACAGAGGCCTGCGCGCCGGAAGAGGCGGTTTTGGCTACCTCAAAGACTGGGTTTGGTGGATGGGACTGATCTTCAGTAAGTGAGAAAGACCGGAGATGAAGTGAAGCAGACGTTCTAAAAACTAATGACCTTATCAACTGTTTCAGTGGGCGTCGGCGAGTTGGCCAACTTTACCGCGTACGCCTTTGCGCCGGCCTCTCTGGTCACTCCGCTGGGCGCTCTCAGCGTTCTCATCAGCTCCCTCCTGGCGCATAAGTACCTGAAGGAGAACCTGAACATTCTCTCGAAGCTGGGCTGCGCTCTCGCCATCATCGGCTCCACCGTCATCGTCCTCCACGCCCCGAAGGAGGGCAAGGTGGACACGCTGGACGACATATCGTACATGCTGGCACAGCCACTCTTCATCGCCTACTTCATGCTGGTCATCTTCGGCTCCTCGCTGCTCATTGTGATCTTTGTGCCTCGCTACGGCAACACCAACGTCCTCGTCTACATCGTCATCTGCTCCATCATCGGCTCCCTCTCCGTGATCTCCTGCAAAGGCCTCGGCATCGGCCTCCGACAGACCTTTGACGGGGACAGCCAGCTGACGCGGTCCCTCTTCTGGATTCTCCTCCTCTCCGTCGTCATCACCGTCTCCATTCAGATGAACTACCTTAATAAGGCACTTGACATCTTCGACACCTCCATCGTCACGCCCATCTACTACGTCTTCTTCACCACCTTTGTGCTCATCGCCTCGGCCATTCTCTACAAGGAATGGCAGTCAATGACCATTGAGAATGTGATTGGCAACCTCTGCGGTTTTGCCACCATCATCATCGGCATCTTTCTCCTCAATGCATTTAAGGATATCAATCTCAACTTGGACAATCTCAAGAACCAGCTGCTGAACAGCAAAGGAGCCAACTCCGCCGATCGGTACATGTCTGAGATTGTCGTCCACGACCCACTGATGCCGGATATTCGTCGCAACTTCATGCATTCGGAGAAGCCCGGTCTGATCAGCTATACAATGGATGATGACGAGTTATAGCGGTCCAAACCAAGCTGCATTGCAATACCTCTTCAACCGTTGTTCTACCATTGTACAAATTCTCACGAAACTTGCACTGTTAGTTGTTTTTTAATTTTTTAAATATATATTATATACCAATTTGGTTTTAACTATCGAGTTGCGTGTAATGTGTGGTCCAAGTGACTTTGAAGTGACTGAAGTGCCTTATCGCAGATCATACTCGCTTTATCCGCATCCGCCGCCTCCACAAGGGCCGCAAGGACGCTTCTTCGCCGGTCGATAGGTGCTGCCTGAGCCACCACCGCCCATCAGCGGCATGTAGTCTCGATCGAAAAGGCTACTACTGTCGGTTGAATCATAACGGGATCCTCCTCCTCCTCCTCGACGATCATCACTTGAATTTGTAAGCTCTTTTTCCAACTCTTCATTCTTCTTCTTCAACGCCTCTCCGTGCTCTTGAATAAACTGACTGTACTTGTCCTGCTGTTTCAGGCGGGCGGCCTCCATCTTGGCTCGAAGGGCTTCTAAAAAATTTTTGCCTATGAAACATGGAAACATATTTTAGTAGCGACTTACCATTATCATCGATGCCCTCGTAGGTGTTTGCCTGCAGATAATACTGGCGGATCTTGTAGATTAGACCGGCCACCAAAGGAGCCCCCAAGAGGAGCAAGGTGATATTGTTAAACTCAAAGACGTCGAACCAGCCCATTTTTAGGAGGAAAGAGGAAAGAGTGAAAGTGAGGAAACTATGGCTGATTCACCACTTCTACAGTGCGGCTGCAGATGTAAACANCATATTTTAGTAGCGACTTACCATTATCATCGATGCCCTCGTAGGTGTTTGCCTGCAGATAATACTGGCGGATCTTGTAGATTAGACCGGCCACCAAAGGAGCCCCCAAGAGGAGCAAGGTGATATTGTTAAACTCAAAGACGTCGAACCAGCCCATTTTTAGGAGGAAAGAGGAAGAGTGAAAGTGAGGAAACTATGGCTGATTCACCACTTCTACAGTGCGGCTGCAGATGTAAACACCAACGCAAACTGACAGTGATCACGTGACTGGAGAGCCTTTATTTGAAGACGTATTTTTAATAATTGAAAAAGGAATCGCCAGGTAATGATAGGTGGTGAAATGAAGTGGATTTTGAGGTAAAAGCGATCTGAAGGTGAAGGAGTGACTGATAGTTTTTCAAAAACTAGTTCAGCTATGAAATAAACAGCTCCGAGTCTATGTATTTGCCGTTTTTGCAGAGCTCAATCTTGAAGCTGTCTCCGGAGAAGCTGGACAGATTGTAGTCGAGGTCGGCGTAGTTGTGGTAGGCGATTGAGAAGATGTTGTCGATGGAGGAGTCCAGCTGACAGCTGAAAGATGATGATGCTTCGGCGGTGCCGCCCAGCTTCCAAGTGGTCACCAGGTTGCCATTGCCGGCGAAGATGATGCTCGACGGGTCGGATGGTACGTACTGCGCCACGTGAGCCACATTCGGACTGTCGCAAATGTGGACGCACTTCCCTGAGGTGAGGTGCCAAACGGAGAGCCTCGGTCCGCCGCCGCAGACCAGCCACTCGCCATTGGGGGAGATGTCCAGAGAGCCGACCCACTTGCCGAAGTGCTTCCGCTCGAGGGCGGCGTTCTTGAAGGGCAAAATCACCGAAATGGGCTTGTCTCCTGGCGCCCGAACGTCCCAGCAGCGAACGGAGCCATCCTCTCCCGCCGAGAAGAGTCTATCGCCGGCTACCCTGATGGCGTGCAGGTAGTCCTGGTGGCCGGTGAACCTCGCCGTCTCCTTCTGCGTCTCCTTGTCGTGAATGTAGACGTTGTTGTCGCTGCAGCCGGAGAATATTCGCTCTCCCGACAGGGCAATGACATTTGCTAGCGTGGTGTCACTGGGCAGATTGATGGTCCAATTGGTGTTCAGCTGATTGACCTGCTCCAAGGTGTACCCTACAATGGTTCCTGTAGGCAGAGAAGATTGATTAGAGAAGATTCTTCTACAAAGTCCCTCCGAGTTTCTCTCTTACCTTCACCTCCGGCAATAAGCCTGTACTGAGAGCTGTCCGGCTGACTGTCGACCAGTAAACTTAGCGGACGGCTGATGGGATTCAGCGATAGTGGCTTCAGTCGCTTGGCCCCGGGATAAACAGCTGTTGCTGACAGTGGCTGCTCTCCCGGCGTCGTGTCGCTGGCAAGAAAGAGATCCTTGAGGTGGCTGCGAATGGGAAAGACCGCCAAGTAGCCCGCCTTGACGGCTGCCAGCAGGAACTTGCCATCGCCGGTGATCACATGACTGGTGACGTGACTGTAGAAGAGGCTGAGGCTGTCGACGTACTCCCGAGATATGTCCATGTCGATGTTTTTGAAGGTGGTGGTGGTCGATAAAGAGTCCAGTCCTGGCGTCCAGTCTGTTGGTGCAATACCACCACCGCCGCTACTACTACTACAACTAGCACTACTGCCCGGAACGGATTTCTCCGCCAACTTGGCTGTTATCGTTTGGTGGACAGTGTCTCAGGGGAGATAACAAAGATTTTACCACAAAAATTGCACCAAAGCAAGAGGCGCCAGCTGACGCAATCTGCCGATGCAGTTGCAATCTGCGGCTTTTTTGGTTGTGGTACATGGCTAGCGTTCTGGGCGGAGCAGTGAGCACTAACAAGGGAAGGCAATGCCTGTGCCTTTGGCAGTGCATTTTCTATTGTCAATCACAGAGAAGAGGCTCCGCCCAGACCGGCCAGTGTCGCCACCGAGCGATGATCTCATCGCGCACCTCATTCAGAGTTGACAACGTGTTCTCGCTTTCTCACACACTCTGCAGTCGTTGAATTCTGGTGAACAACCACCACACTTCTATAAAGCTCTGGTACCCAGGTGTTACCCTACTTTTATTCCATTCATTGCCATATCACCTTCCCGAGAAGATGGCAGAAGAAATCAGCTCGCAAATGGGTTTGTTATTGTTTTGAAGCATCGAGGTATCCGATGTTCATTGACCTCTTTTCTTCTCTCTCTCCGTACAGCTGCTTTGTACATTAGTGAAAAGGGCGATGACGCCTCTGGCGATGGCTCCGAGGCAAAGCCGCTGAAGACGCTCCTCGAGGCGATGCGACGCGCAAAGGCGGAGCCCTTTCCGCCCTTTTTGGCGGAGAACAACGACGAGAAGATTCCCGAGAAGTGGGCCCCGGTGTCGGCTTCGCAGATTAAGAAGATCAAGAAAATCTGGCAGCGAGAGGCCAGCAAGAGCGACGACAAGGCGAAGAAGGAGGCGGAGGACGAGGAGCGCCGACTGAAGAACCTCGAGGAGTCGAAGTCGGTGAAGATCGAACTGGACGCCTCTCTGCCGGCGCCCGGCCGAATCAAGCTCGGCCAGGCGAAGGAGAACCGCGGCAAGCGCGTGACCACCTTCGGCTGGATTCACCGCCTGCGCCGCCAGGGCAAGGCGCTGATGTTCATGGTGCTGCGCGACGGCTCCGGCTACCTCCAGTGCGTCCTCAGCGACAAGCTCTGCCAGACATATGACGCACTTGTCCTCCAGACTGAAGCCACCGTGCAGGTGTACGGGACGCTGGTGGAGTCGGACAAAGCCCCGGGCGGTCACGAGCTGAAGGCCGACTACTGGCGGCTGATCGGCAACGCTCCGCCCGGCGGCATTGAGAACGCCCTCAACCAGGAATCGCACATTGACGTGCAGCTCGACCAGCGCCACTTGATGCTGCGCGGCGAGAACCTCTCCAAGATCATGCAGTTCAGGGCGATTCTGCTGCGCGCCTTCCGCGACCACTACCAGTCGGTGGAGCACACGGAGATCACTCCGCCCACGCTGGTGCAGTCGCAGGTGGAGGGCGGCTCGACGCTCTTCAAGTTCGATTACTTTGGAGAGGAGGTAGGTGCTCGCTGTTTTTGTGATGCTTTCTATCTCATTTACTTGACACTTTACTCTGCCCGCACAGGCCTACCTGACGCAGTCTTCGCAGCTGTACTTGGAGACCGTTTTGCCCTCTCTGGGCGATGCCTTCTGCATTTCGCAGTCCTACCGAGCCGAGGCCTCTCGAACCCGCCGTCATCTGTCGGAGTACACGCACATTGAAGCGGAGCGCGTCTTTATCACCTTTGACGATCTGCTGGACTCCATCGAGTCGCTCATCACCGACGTCATTGCGCGCGTCCTCGCCGACCCGGTGGGAAAAGAGCTGCTGTACTTCTTCAACCCTGACTTTAAGCAGCCGAAGAAGCCCTTCAAGCGCATGAACTACACCGATGCCATTGAGTACTTGAAGGAGAACAACATCACCAAGGAGGATGGAACTGCATTTGAGTTTGGCGACGACATCCCCGAGATGCCGGAGCGAAAGATGACTGACCAGATTAATGAGGTAGGAGGAGGCATTTTGTGAGAACATTTCTGCAGATAGTTACTCAACTCTTTCCACCCCCGCCATTTAGCCCATCATGCTGTGCCGCTTCCCGGCTGAGATCAAGTCCTTCTACATGCCTCGTTGTCAGGAGGACAAGCGACTGACTGAATCGGTGAGTAGTGCCTTTAGAGTTGCTGGTGTGTTTGGTAAATATTGACCAAAACATGTCTTATTATTATCCAGGTGGACGTTCTCCTGCCCGGTGTGGGTGAAATAGTGGGCGGCTCTATGAGGATCTGGGACTACGCCGAGCTGATGGCTGGCTTCAAGCGCGAGAACATTGACCCGACCAAGTACTACTGGTACACTGACCAGCGGCTCTTTGGCACCGCCCCGCACGGCGGCTATGGCCTGGGATTGGAGCGCTTCATCACCTACCTCCTAAACCGGTACCACATTCGCGATGCTACGCTCTATCCAAGATACATCTCCCGCTGCACTCCGTAGAAGAGAACTGGGCAGAGCAAACTCTACACACTGATGATCATTCGGTTCCTTTTTATACTATTTTATACTATTCTCCCGAAGCTTACTTGCACAAACCTTTTGTACTACTGTAGTGTTACCGCTTTTACGTTTTCACACATACTGCTGAACCCGTGCTCTAACCTTTAACACTGTGCAACTGTGCAACCCAAAACACACGTTTGATTGATTCCAAATCGATAGTGCACCCCCAACACCTAAACTGTGAAATTAAAGTTTATTATTATTTATTGAACGTCTGCAGTTTGAAGTGTCACAACATAACAGTAACATTCTTTGTCTGGTGGTCTCTGGTGATCGGTGGTCTTTGGTTTAGGTCCTGTTTGTTCACAAGTGGAAGGTTGAGAGGGAAAAGTAGGAGAGAAGTAGAAATTGAGAAATGTTCAAAATAAGGAAGTGGTCAATTTGTTTAGCGGAGGGAAGGGAAGGAAGGAAGGGGAAAATGCTTGGTCGATAAGGAATTGAAAAACCGGGACTGCGAGGTGAGAAGGAGGAAGAGAATGAGAGGAAGTAAAAATGGAAATGAAAAATGCGATGGTGGAGATACGCCTGACGAGGGGTGGGGAAATTCATTTGTTGAACTAGGATTGGTCATCACTATCGTCATCGGTAGTAGTAGGGCTGAGAGATCAGAAGAGAGAGGAGAGAGAGAGTACAATCGATAAAGGAAGGTTTGGATCGGTGGTAACATTGAGTGGAAGGGGAACAACGCGCAGCGACAACAACTGCAACAACACCGCATCAGACTCTCAGAGAGCTAATCTTCTTCAGTACATGGTCAATATCACAAAGTGAACTGTTGTTGGCGTTGTTCAGACTGTTCGGCTGACTGCCCAGTGGCGGTAGTAGTGGCTGCTGCTGTTGCTGCTGCTGGCCAACTGCCCCGGTGGCCCCGGCATTGCAGATCTCATGTGAGGAGTAGCTGAAGCCCTTGAAGTTGCTGACGCCCAGCTGGCCAGAAGCCTCCGGTGGGTAGAGCGAACTCGAGGTGGCCGACGAGATCGCCGGGTGACTGCATGGGCCAGAGTTGAAGAGCGAGTTGAAGAGCTGCGGAGGGGTGGTGCAGTTCACACCACCGCCGCCACCACCACCACCAGGGTTGAAAGGGTCCACTTTGGAGTAGTCGCTGAAGATGCGGTTGAAGGAGGAGTAGTGGGGGGCTCCGATGCCTCCGCCGCCCACGCCGCCATAGCTGCCCTGCTGACCGAAGAGGGCGCCCGAGGAGGGATGCACCAGGACGTTGTTGCCACAGACGCCGCCACCACCACCACCGCTGCCACTGGCGTCACTGGGCGTGGGCGAGGCTGGATACACCGTGTTGGAGTAGTAGAGCAAAGAGTTGAGGTCGTCGAGTGACTTGGAGCGAACGAGCACCGGCTGACCGCCGCCGACTGGGCCTGCCGCCGACTGCTGACTAGGGCCACTGCCGCCGACGCCGCCGCCCACCGCGTTGCCCGAACTTGTGATCACAATTTGTGCGGCTTGCATTGAGCTAGGTACTTCATCATCACGTTCCGTCATCGTCTCCATTCCTCCTCCGTCTCCCCCTCTGAGGCTACCCTGTTGCTGCTGCTTGTTCGGCGAGGCCGGGTTCGACTTTGTGGTGCCGTCGGCACTGTTGACCAGAAAGCGTCCGTTCACTGATGCCGGTCCCTGCCCTTGTCCGCCGAACAGATAGGTGGCCTTTGGTGGGTAGAACTTGAAGTTGTCCGGCAGCTCTGCCGGGCCGGCTTTGAAGAGCTGCAGCGAGGACCGCCGCGGTTTGTAGTACGGCTTGTAGGGACAGGTGTTGTTGTACTTGTTCTTGAAGGAGGACTTGCGGAGGATGCGCGGATAGGGATCGGTCTCACTGAGCGGCTGACTGCCCGTGCCACACTCGCCGGTGTCGCAGGACTCAGAGAGCGAGGAGAGCGTGGCAAAGGAGGAGGAGAAGGAGGACGCAAAGGAGGAGGTGTTGGCGCTGCAGCTCGAGTAGACGCCCGACGCCGAGGAGGATATGCCCGAGGAAGAGGAGGAAGAGGAGGAGGAGTTGGAGGCCGTCGAGGTGGAGCGGCGCAGGCGGCCGCTGATCATGTTGTTCTTGCGGTACCACTGCTGGCGGAGCAGGTGTCGCTGGTTGAGCAAGGACAGCTCCGCCAGCGACTCGTCGAAGATGTCCTCGCCAAAGGTGCTGTCAGAGCGAGTCAGCTTCCGACCGCCGGTCTGGGGCAAACCGAGCACCGAGGGCAGCTGGCAACCGCCGCCGCCGCCCTTTGGTGCCATGTTGGCGTTCACATCGTTGATCGGATTGTTGGATAGGAGCGGCGGCGACGAGGACTGCGGATGGTTGCTCATGACGGAGGATAATGCTGGGCTGGAGAGGCTGCGGTTCGAAATGACTGATGAAGGTGTGTGTTGTTGTCGGTTGGTCGGTGGAGCAGTGCAGCGTAAGAGTAGGGAAGAGAGACAGGCGGCAGCTGATGACACTTGCCGCTTTTAGAACGCTCACCGGTGGAATGAAAGCGCGTGTTGATACTGACAAAATACGGAGATGAGGAGAGAAAGGGAAAGAGAGAGAGTGAGACGAATACTGGGGAATACTGATCGGTTGGTTTGGTGAAGCTGTCGATGCACTCGGCTGCCTGCGAGCCAATCTTGCGCTCACTGACTACCTCTTCTTCTTCTTCTTCTTCTGCTACTTCTACTGCTTCTCAATACGATAAATCCCTGCTCGGCAACTCATCGTGACCAGACAGAAAAAGGCCGTGACCGTCTTGAGAGGGAGGAGGTGTTGCAACAGCAAGAGAGAGAGAGAGAGAGAGACCGAAATCTCACCAGGCGAACCAGAACAGGTCTGGCTGGTGGAGTTGATGGTGATGGTGGTGATGCCGATGCTGATACTGACACTGATGATCGTGGTGGTGTGTCTGTGAAGAGAGTAGTAGCGAAGTCGGTGTGCTGGTTCGTTGGTTGGCTGTGTATGGAGTGTGGAGTGTGTGTATGTTTGTTTATGGGCTAGCACAGTTGACATTTGAAAGAGCTTGCAAAGAGTGCACACAGGCTACAACAGCAGCAGCAGCAGAAGCAAAGGCAGAGTTCTCCCTCTCTCTCGCACTCTCTGGCGCTTCCTTCTCTCGCTCCTCTCTCTCTCTCTCTCTCTCTCTCCGTCTGTGACGTTCTGAGCACGGACAACATTCGCTTTCGTCGTCGTCGCCGCCAAGCTCTCTCTCTCTCTCTCTTTCTTTTTGCCCACTCTGTCTGCCAATTCCCGACGTGTGAGCAGTGCGATCCTCCAAAGTACTCTCAGTGAGCGACTCTACCAGCGCCTTCCAACTACCGTGCCCACTCGCCGTCGTCGTCGCCGATACTGGTTCCTTCTGCTGTCGACATTTGGCATTTCGCGACTCCACTACTACTACTACTACTCTACTCTCTATTCTTCTTCTTCTTCTTCGATAGCACCACCACCACCACTACCGCCGCCGCCATCACCGACTCGGCGAATGTCCGAAAAGACTACCGCCGCCGATCCAGCGGATGACGACATTGAGCGGCGAATGCCATGGCATTTGGGAAGATGTGGTGGTAGTAGAAGAGGTGGTCTTCGGGAAACTGCTGCTGCTGCTGCCACCAGCCACCAGCCAGAAGTGTTCCAGCGGACAGTGAGGTAAGTGAGAAAAAGATAGAAAGAGAAAGAGAAAATGCAATAGAATGCGTGTTCGTGAGAGAAAGGGAAGCTCCAGCTGCTGCTGCTGCCTCAATGTTGCCAGTGTTTTTTTGTTCTATTTTGAAGGAAGGATGGACCAGATTCGGCGACGAGCAGAGAGCGTACGCCGACTCTTCTGCCCACACTTTGTGTGGGAGAAAGAGAATCTGGTCTGGTGTGTGTGTGTGTGGTTGGGTTGAGCCAAGTGCATTCTCCGTTCCAACTTAGTACTCCTCGCCGAGTGCGCTGCTGCAGTCCACTTGGCGTCCACTGGCTCTGTGTGTGGTACTTCCTGACCTCGTCCCAGACTATTGCTATCGTTTCTATTCCTTTCCTTTCCGCACTCACTAACTCTTTCTCTGGTCCAAGGTGTGTGTGTGCTGTTGTTGTGTTTGTTCATATTCTTGTTCTATTTTCTGCGTTTGCTGCTGCATCCTCTCTTTGTGATCATCCTTCTCTTTCCAAACATTCCTATCCTCACTTTAGTCCCCTAACTGTTGTTTGAATGTCCTTCCTACCTTGATACCTTTCTTCCTTCATTCCTCGCTCGCAGTGACCACGCTTTGCTCCTCTTGTCCACTTGTCTCGAGTTTGTTGTTCTGTGTTCTGTGTTCTGTGTGCTTGTACTTGCCATTACTTCTACCTTTACTTCAAACACTCCTCTGTTATCAAAAAGCACGATCTGCTGCTGCTGCTGCTAAAACCTCTGCCTAAGCGAGCGAGCGAGATAGGCTGCACGAGTGCTATTGACGCGGGAGCGAGCCAATTGCGACCCAAAAGCCATGCGAAACCCATTCCCTTCTTATCTTCCTGGTATGTTGTACTTTTTCCCTTTCTTTGATTACGGAACAAACCTTTCTCTCTAGAAAGCTCTATTCCCGTTGCATGAGCTAATTGATTCTGTCGATTCACGCTCCGAGGCCCTGCTCACACACTTTCTCGATCATTGCATTGATTTCGATCTTTCTCGTCTGCAGATTGAGCGGACGAGTTTAGGCTTCTCCGAGACGGAGCTTCTAGTGTCACTTGCTTCTTACTCTCACTACCTCTCCTTCCTCCTAATCGGCGACGCTTATGGTTATTAGGCCTAATTAATATTTGATGGAATGGCCGCCAAAATTGAATGAGCTCATTCAGCCACTCAATGCTTACTTGTTGTCTCTCTCGCTCGCTAGTTCTGTTGTGCTCTCTGCACGAGATAGCGACTGCTCTCTGGTACGCCGAGACATTACTGTGCGCGTATTAATTATTCATTCAACGACGCCCAGTCTGTTTAGCCTGGCCAGCTAGCCAGAACCAGCCAGAAGCAGAAGCAGAGGAGAGAGAATGTTTGTGTTTGCGTCTGACTCGCTAGTTTTGTTCCCTTCAGTGACACAGAGAAAGGGAAACTGTTGGTTGGAGGGCTGCTGGCATTACCATCCCCATCATCGTCATCATCAGATTAGTTAAGGTTTGGTGGTGCGCGGACCTAGGCGCGTACGCAGAGTGGGCTGGGTAGCAGCAGCTCTCTTCAGCTTTTGCTGACAGCATCAGCTGTCAAAAACGGTGCTGTTTGCCGTAATGGGCGCCCACTTTTCTTTGCCCTGCTCTTCAGTGCCCCCTAACTCACCAATTCACTGACTGACTCACTCTCTCGCTTTTTTTCAATCGATTGCCTCGTCAACTGGGCGCCATATCACTTCGACCGGGCACCAATTTTTGGTCTAGCTAGCAGACTAGAGGCTGCCATCGAGTGCCCTTTTTCTGTGTAACTGCCGCCGAAGAACAGGCTCCAGAGACAGAAGGGAGAGAGTGGGACCTTTGCACTGCCATTTTTGGGTTACTATCGAATTTGGAACAGCAGTCAGTCTGCGGCCGCGAATGCGGCGGCGGCGATGGCCCTTTCTTTCCCTCCTCGCTGATCGGCGGTCGTTGTAGTGCTGCTGCTGGTACTGCTTGTACTGCTGGTGCCCCTTTTGGCACACAGCAAAGAGTAGTAGTGCAGCAGCAGTTGAGCACTCTTTCCCTTGCCCTCTCTTAGCAGAGTCGTACAGGCGCTGGCCTCTGTACAACTCTGCCTGACTGCCTGTGTGTTTTCCTTTCCGGGTGGCGTCGAAGGACGTCGCCGACAACGTCCTATTCAGCTTCGTCGTACAATTTCCCATTGTACACACATTCTACTCTTGTCGTGTGTTCGCCAGCTGCTACGGCTGATGCTGATGCTGTTGATGATGTTGATCGTAGTTTTAGTGTGCCATTCTGGCTGATCTCCGAGAGGCAATCTCTCTCTTCAATTCAATCTTTTCCCCGTTCGTCATCACCAGGGCCAATTGACTCCTTAGACGCTCAAATCGCTGTCTCCCCCTCACTCTTTCAAGCTTATCTATGCAGCCAGCTGACAGCGACAGCAGCAGCAGCAGCGAGGAAGTTGTGAGAGGCCTTCAGCGAGGTTCAGTGTTGTTGGCCACTGAGTGGCGACTGCTGCTGCTGCTGCGGCGGCCACCCCCCGCGCACTTGGCCTGCCAGTGGCCCCGATCTGCGTTGTCAATTATCGCCCATCCCGACTATATAGCAAAAGCATCCCTCTCACTACAATGTTATTCTCTCACTTTGTATCTGCTCGTGTGTGCATCTATCTGTGCCTATCTGCTGCCAATGGTGCAGGGAAGCAGCCACAGCTGTCGGCGGCAGAATCGGCGAATCCCCGCACACCAGCAGCAGCAGCCTGACAGCAGTCTCAGCTTTGACAGGAGGCCACCACCGCTGCCACCACCACCACTACCTCTGCTGAAGCAGTCGGCCGAGCCACTTCTCTCACTCTCTCTCCCACTCTCTCCCCCTCTCCCTTTCTCTCTCTGCCCTGTCTGAGTGTTGGTAGTAGTTGTGCACTGCTCTAATGTTGTGATTCCAAGAGCAGCATCAGCAGCAGCAGCTGCCCCAACTCTCTCCTCTCCCATTCTTCTTCCCTTTCTTCAGCCAGTGATGCTGCCTCCATTCTGATGAATGAGGAAGGTCGGTGCAGAGTGAATGAACAGCACTCTCCTCCTACTCAGACGCTCTCTCACTCTGAGACACAGGCGCAGTTCTTGGCCCCCATTTGGGCACTATTCGCTTCCTCTAATCTGCCCACTCCTCTCTAGTTCTGGTTCGTCTGGTGCTTTCTTATTCTCCTTATTCTTCCTCTTCTTCTTTTTTTATCTCTTGCTTTTTATTGTTTTCTCAATTGTCAATTTTTGTTGTTTGCCGCCAGCAGCAGCATCTTTTCTCTCGAGCTATCTATCTTTCCCGTTCTCCATTTCTTCTTCCCCTTCATCTATCTATCCCAGTGAGCGCCACTTTCAATTGTCTGCGGCGACGGCGGCAGCAATTTGCGATAACTGCTCTCAGCTGCTCTCACTGACTGAACTGAACTGCCTAAATGGAATTCTATCATTCTTTGCATTAACATTTTGCATTCTTTCATTCCCCTCTATTCACACAATAGAGAGATGTCCTCTGGCTCCTGCAAATACTCCAATGTCTCCCCAAGTGTGAGTGCATCCTCGTTCTTTGCGCCTCGATCCTTCTACCGCCAGGCCGCCAATCACTTTCGATCCTCGTCCTCGTACTCTTCCTACGTGCCAAGTGGTGTCCGAGCATCACTGCAGAATCACCATCACCACCATCACCACCCAGCAGCTTCACTCAATGACTCATCTACGTATGCTCTGCGGACGGCCAACTACCATCACCACCACCACCAACAGCAACACCATCCTCATCAACCCCAGCACTATCACGGCACTCGAAACACCACCACCACCACCACGTACTCCTCAGGACTGAGCCGATCATCGAGCAGCACTTGTGATCGACTGAAAATTAGCAGCACCAGCAGTCATACTGCGAGCACTGCCTCCGCTTCAACGACGACGACGACTACGACGGTCTCTTCGACCGGCCCTAGCACCTCAAGTCAGGCAAAGGGGATGGACGTGTCTCCAGCGTCGGCCAGCTCCACAACTCCGACCACTGCTGTTAAGAGTGAGCCCACGGCTTCTGCGGAGAAGGTGACCTCCACGAGCAATAGCAGCAAGGTTGTTGTGGATAGCAACACTGCAACCACCATCACCACCACCATCACTCCCACTAAGATGGTGAATGGCGAGGCAGCCGTCCGCTCACTGGCCACCAACCTCGAGTCATCACTCAGTCTGAACAACAGTCCACCGAACAGCAGTTCATTGGCCACCTCCAATAGTGCTGCTGTGTACAATGGCTGTACTGGCTGCCCCACTGCTGACTCCATCACCATTATGGACCATCAGCAGCAGAACCATGCTGGCACCAGCAACAGTATCAGTGAAAGTGAGACGGGCTCACTCTCAATCACCCACGGGCTCTCGGGCTGTTCGGACTCTTCCAAGTTGCAGCTGAATGCGCCCAAGTTTGGGACACCAGTGCCCAATCGAGTCTTTGTGGGGGGAATTCCGGTGGATGTAAGTGAAGTTCAGATTTTTTATTGAGTTTTTAGCTAATGTTTTTGGTGGTTTGGCGCAGGCAACCGAGTACGAGGTACGCTGTCTATTTGCTCAATACGGAAATATTAGCTCGGTGAAGATCATCTCAGACCGGGCTGGCGTCTCACGAGGGTACGGTATTGCTCATTTCGGTAGAGATGTGCCCCTCTGTAGCTAAGTGTTATTGCTCCATTGCAGCTACGGTTTTGTCACCTACGACTCGGAGGAGGACGCCCAGAAGGTAATCAAAGAGGCGGAGAACTTGATCATCAAACACCGACGTCTGAACGTCTCAACTGCTGTGATGAAGCACAACAATGGCTCTTTCGGTGAGTGTGCACCTACTTTTTTTGTAGAGCATTCTTTTCTTATACCTTTCTTTTCTGTCGACAGGTTTCGACCCTCGTATGCTTTCCAATGGTGGTCACTCCTTCATGTACCCGCAGATGCCCTTCAATGCGGCGGCGGCGGCGGCTGCTGCAGCAGCGGCGGCCAACTACTCACAGTACTACGGGGGCGGAGACGGTGGCTACCACGGAGGAGGAGGCGCTGGAGGGGGAGGGAGTGTCTGTCCGGTGGAGGGCATGCCACTGTACCAGCTGGCAGGCATGAACGGCGGACACAGCTTCCAGCTGGCCAACTGTCCCTCCTCCTACATGACGCCCTCCAGCTACCTCAACCAGACGGCAGCCGCGGCCGCTTCCGTCTACGGTGCTGGGCCTTACCAGGGTGCCCCGGTCGCCGGGTACCTCTATCCCACTGCAATGACCGCTCAGGGGCCGGGGACAGCGCCAGTTCAGCAGCAGACGTCGGCGACGATGGCTGCGATGGCTCCTTCGACGCAGCACCAATCAATGGCAGCGGCCGCCTACCACCACCATCACTCGCAGCAACAACAGCAGCAGCAACAGCAGGCGGCAGCGGCAGCCGCCGTGGCTGCCGCCAATCAGGCCCATATGCTCGCCAGTGCGTCATCACTTCCGAGTGCATTTCACCATCAGTATTCGGCGGCCTGTGCAGCTGCCGCTGCTGCTGCCGCCGGTGCTAATGGCGGTGGTGGTGGTAGTAACGGAGGTGCCACTGGAGGAGGCTCTCAGTCTGCTGCCAACTCTAATTCGGCTGCTGCGGCTCTTCATGCGATGCGCTCCTATGGCAATGCCCTTCCACCGGGACATCATATGGGACCGCACTCGTCGGGCGGACAGAGCTCACAGGTACGTTTTTTCAGTATTGCTTATTTCGATTCGCGGTCATTTCATCGCAACCATTTCATCGCGAGCCTTTTTATCGCTTGCCAACTAACAGGAAGAGCCGATAGGCTCTAGCCCTTGCTATATTATTTTAACTAACAATAAAGTTCCGATGAAAAGGCTCATGATGAAAAAGTCGTGTTATGAAAAGGTTTGCGATGAAATGGTTGCGCTAAAATGTTTGCCTATTGCTGACCACACCTCATTTGTTCTTCTCACAGGCAGTGAACCTGAACCCCTCTAGCAGTCAGCAGTACATTCAGTACTCCACCAGCGCCACATCGCCGGCCATCAGCAGTCAGCACCCGTCGGCGATGCACATGGCAGCGGCGGCGGCGGCCAGCATGCCAATGCACCCGCACCAACACCACTCTCATCACCCCCAGTCACACCTCACTTCGATGCAGCAGATGAATGCAGTGGCAGCGGAGATGGCCGCTGCCAACTCCGGAGGTGGTGGTAGCGGAGGTGGTGTGGTCTCCCCTGGAGTGGGCGGACCGCAAATGAACGCCGCCCTGCTCGCCCACCACGCCCACCCTGCTGCGGCGGCTGCAGCGGCGGCAGCAGCTGCGTACGCCAATCAGCACGCCTACCAGCAGGCCAATCTGGCGCACTCACTGAACGGTGGCCAGGCGCTGTGCGGCATGCCGGGCATGCACCTCACCAAGGCCGACGGCACTCCGCTGGAGATGATGGACCCCAGTGTTTCAATGGGCATGATGAATGCTGCCGCAGCAGCCGCCGCCGCCGCCGGGATGAACGGCGCTGTGATGAGCAACGCCTCCATGCCCGGCTCAGTTCATCTCAGCAGCAATGGATACGCAGTGCCGCAGATGATGGAGGTCATCTGGCAGCCGAATGCTTACTGCAGCACTGCTCCGGCACCACCACCAATGGCCCAGGCGCAGGCACCTTCACAGGCACCTCCGCCGCTGCACCTTGCCAACACCCCAAACGGTGTCGTCTACGGAAACCCCTCCTCCTCTGTCCCCAGCTCTAAGCAGTTGTCTGGAGGCATCAACCACAGCAATAATAATACTACCACTAATCGCTCAATCTCCTCTCAATCCTCGACCGGTGCCGCCCCTCTCCCTGGTAACTCCAACTCGTCAAACGGCAACTCCAGCAATTCCTCAGCAAGCAATAATAATAATACTAGCAGCAGCAATGCCCCTAACTATAGCAATGTCCCTAAGTCAGCGCACAACAGTTCTTCTTCCTCCTCCTCTTCCACTACGGCTGCAAACGGTCCGCAGATGGCCAATGGCTACTCTTCCTCCAGTTCTTCCACTCTGTCGCCGTCAAGTGGCGTCAGTTCCGCCAACACCGGTGGTGGTGGCAATGGCGTGAACCCTTCTCCCAATCAAAGCAATACTACTATTTCTAATTCTACAAATTCCACTTACAAAGAGAAGGCGCCCAACGGCCGCCACAACTCCTCTAGTTACGGTCCTAGTCACAAGAAGATGTACAATGGCACTGGCAATACAGGTGGTGGTCACAACTATGGCAATACTAGCAATACTACAACTACTGGCAATGGAAATGGTAACAACTTGACCAAGTCCTCGACCAAGGTGATGAATGGCAATGGAGGGGGCACAGCTCGCAGCAGCTACCACAGCAACTCACTAACGGACAGCAGCTCCGCTGAGCCCAGTCCCACGGAGCCGCCCGCTCTGAAGCATCAGCAGCAGCATTTCAGTAAGCCAGCAACTGGCCCGTCGCAGTCATCAGCGTCCTCGACGTCCTCCTCTGGCCGAGTCAGCGGCGGTGGTGGTGGCAATGTGAACAGCGCCAGTGCCCAGGCACTGGTCACCAAGACTGTCAACGGTGTGCAGATCTACGCATTGGCCAGCAATGAGGAGATGGTCACCTCACCGCAGCCGCCCACTGCTGCAGCTGCAGTGGCCTACAAAGCCTGAAATGGTCTACTGTGGTCCCAACACACACCCACTCACTCACCCACATTCCTTGTCTCCCCCTCTTTCCCCTCTATTTCATTCACTCGATCTCATCCCTGCGAACCCCGCTTCTTTCAACAAAACCACACACTGACACTGACACACCCCTTTACAAAGAGACTTGGTCTCAACAACCAACAGACTGACTGGTTTAAGCGACGGTTTGCCTGCTCGAGCTGGCTCGAGTGGGAAGAGGAATAAGAAGTTGAAGAAGTTAAAGAGTGTAGACTTGAACACTTGGCCCGGACCTTCTGAATGTCGATGTCGATATCGCTTCTCCATGTGATACTACCTTCTCGCTCTACACACAACCGTATACACCCAACCTTTGTACTCGCTCTCTTTCTCTGTTATTACTCTCTCTCTCCTTCTTGTACTCGCTGTATAGCTCTCTTTGATGCTCGCTCTTTCTCGCCCTCTCTTTCGATATCTTCTCCCTCTTTGGTTCTCTCGCTTCACGCTAGGCGATGACTACTCCTTCTCCTCCTCTTTCTTTGATACCAGATCCATTTACAACACACACACACACACACCCCATTTACACAAAACACCTCTTTCGCAGACTCTTGTTATTTTTCTATGTTCCTTTTGAATCTCTATTTCTTTTCTCACACCACCACACCGACGCAAACAACATGCATTCAACTCACTCACTTTACACTCACTAGCACTACCTATTCTGACCGAGCCAAACTGACGCCCCCNGACGCAAACAACATCCATTCAACTCACTCACTTTACACTCACTAGCACTACCTATTCTGACCGAGCCAAACTGACGCCCCTGTGCCAATAGAGGATATTTGGCCAAACGAAAATGACTAAACGCGATAGTCGATAGAGATTACACAACACACACAGACACACACACCCCCACATAAATGGTCATAAAGTCAAAATCATGGAATAAAGACGCTGCTTTAATCACCAAAGTAGTAGTAGTATGGAACATTTATCGGCGAAGCGGCGGAATGACCTTCCCTGCGTTGATGAGGTTCTTCGGGTCGAGTGCCTTCTTGATGCGGTGCATCACCTCGATGGAGGTGTCGTCAAACTGGTTCCTCAGCAGCTCCATCTTGCCCCTGCCGACGCCGTGCTCGCCGGTGCAGGTGCCGCCCAGCCTGATGGCGTCCTCGGCGATCTTCTGCGTCACCGTGAAGACGCGGTCCACCTCAGAGGGGTCCGCCTCGTCGTAGGTGATCACCGAGTGGAAGTTGCCATCGCCCACGTGGCCAAAGGAGAAGCCTGAAAAAAAGCAAGGGAAAACGGGGTTAGCCAGGTTGATAAAACGTTTCAAACATTCACCATTGATGTTGTACTGCTCAAAGTACGTTTGCATCTGCAGGATAATGTCTGTCAGCCTGGAGATGGGCACGCAGACGTCGGTGATGATGGTGCGGTGGCCAGGCCGAGTGCTCTTGCAGGCGTAGTACAGCTCGTGCCGTGCCTTCCACAGCTTCGATCGTTCCTCCGTTTTGTTGGAGTGCTGAAAGCCGCTGCCGCCGTTCTCCTCGATGATCTCCCGCGTGGTGCGCACCACCGGCCCAATGTCCGCCTGGTTGCCGGAGATCTCGAGGAAGAGTGACGGTTTTGCAGGTAGGCCCACCTTGCTGTACTCGTTGGCCGCCGCAATGGACAGCTGGTCGAGGAACTCGATGCGGGAGAGGGGAATGTTGTTCTGCAGCAGCTGAATCACCGTCTCGATGGTGCTCCGGTTGTCCTCAAAGTGGCAGATGCAGGCGCACAGCTGCAGTGGAGAAAGAGATTGTTATCGTAAACGATT